CCCGCAACCCTGGCTGAACATCAGCCCGGTAGGGCCCTGTTTGTAGTGGTCTATTAGCTCTATGAAGCGCGCGCGTTTACGGTGGATCTCTCGAGGACGTCCATCCCCCTAGGGTTGACAAACGACCTAATGAGGATCACATGGAGTCGTCCAGGGTGCAGGTAGCTTTTAACCGGTCGATATGGAAATCTCTAAGGCCTATGTTCAGTAGTGGACATCTTGATATTATGATGAGGTAAAACAACGACATAATTATGTTTATATTTACTGAACATAATGACTTGATCTAACACTCTACGAGTTCTATTAGTCGCACAAACTGCTGAACGTCATTTCATTATAGAGGATTAATTGTTTACTGCCTATACATACTTGGTATGTATGAACCGCTTTGTGATGTCGAGGGCCCTCGACCAACATATCGCACTCCCCGTCCGTCTCATACTTTTAAAACATAATACATAGATGGCGCTGTATTGTACGCACGCTGCAGCATTTAGAAAAAAGTAAAAATATTTCTTTATAAAATTGGAATACTCAATAAAATATCAACGAGTCAGGCAAAATCTGGTTTACGACAAAACAGTTTATCGCTTTAAACTCGATTTTATTCGAGACTTCACTTTTAAAATATCTCGGAACAGTTTTTACGTCAATTTGAGAAATTCCCTTTTCCGTCTTTTTGTAAATAAGGATGCATTTAAATCAAAACACAAGGATAATATTCTGAATCTTTTTTTTGGAACAATTTGCTTCAGGTGACATGGTACCAATATCATAGATGTAATACATCAATATGCTAATTCAGAAAAGATAATAATTATTTTGTAGTTATTTTAAATATTCAAATGTAATCGAAAAAACTAAACGTTACTACTATGTTACTTGAAGAAGTATTTTGTTTAATTGTGAGATAGCCATGTTTCGGCACGAATGAGGCGGCTCGTCTGGAGTGATACCATGGACTCACCAAAAACCACCATGAAACAACGTCTATATTTCGTCGTATTGATGAGATCACCTCAAAAATAGTTTTACAGTTTAGTAATTCGCTACCTAATTGACCTTTAGTAATCGACCTTGATACAAAGATTATCAGCTCTAATAGACTGTTACGAAGGCTAGGTGTTACTAGGCTGAAGATAACTGAGTCATCAACTTTCTACTTGTAAGGATTCCTTAATCCCCTTCATACTAATACAGACTGAATGTTTGGAAAATTTATAAACGTGACTTTGTTACTACGATAGAGTGTTTTTTATTTATTATTTATGTACATTATACATGCAGTAAATAGAAAAAAGAAACTACTCAAAAAAGGGGCATAGGTTACAAAGGTTCTTGATTGTAATCTCTTTGAAAGACAAAATGTGTTTTTTTATGGTATAAGTCGGCAAACGAGCAGACGGATTACCTGATGGTAAGCAATCGGCGCCGCCCATGGAGGATGTCCATGGGCGGCGCCGATTGCAACACAGACCCGGAACAACAATTTGTGGGTCACACAAAGAGTTGTTCCGTGCAGGAATCGAAACCGCGAGACGTTGTACGGCAGCCCAGCCACCGCACCAACCGTGCAGTCATCACCTAACTTTATTTAAGACTAGCTAGTCTTAAATCTCTCGCGTACATACAAACTTATAAACATACTTACAAACTTACAAATTTTATCTCTTTATAATATTAGTATAGATTAATACAAGGTTGATATGACGTTTATCCATTGTCGAGTTTCTCACGACCTTTATTCATATAAAATGACATTATACAGATAATTCTGTCTGATGTCAATTACTTTAGATAACCTTATTGCAATACGCTCGGTTATTAGTGATTTAGTTTATCTCATTAAGTCATATGTACATAAACAATATTATATTATTAAATACGAATTTGGCCTATCATGAAATATGATCCCTGTGTAAAGAACATTAAGGGACAGCCCTGAGTAGGTTGTAGGAGGCAATGTGGCACCGCCGCCTTGGCTTGGATTAATCCGTAAGAGTCTGCCACTCTCTCTCGCCTTACCCTGGGCGAGAGAAGTCATTTTAGGATGTTCCCTGACTTACAAAAGCCCTGAGTAACTGGACAAAGACTTGGCTGTAGGCAGAGCTCTCTGATAAACCAGAAAAATGGGCAATCTACATTCTTCCTGCTAAGTGTGGAGATTCTTCGGAAACATCTTAAGTCACTACTTAAAAAGGTTCAGAACAATCTCCATTAATGAACATGAGCCTTGCTCATAGTCCTGTGGTGTTGGGTAATTACCAGTTGTGTTTCGCCGTGTGACTAAGGTTACTGGAGGTCCAATCCTTTCCCCCATCCCCAACCTTCAAATCCCCCATCCTTCTCATCTAATCTCCAAAAGGCCGACAACACACTTGTAGTAACTCCTTTCATAATACGAGAGTCCATGGGCGGCGTTGATTGCTTACCATCGGGTAATCCGACTGTTCGTTTGCTAACATTATAATAAATAAGAAAAAAATATAACATGTTTAAGTAAACCGGAATGATTATTTAATTCAAATCAAAATGCTGAAATGGTAAAAATGAAACTTACTGTATAAAGTTATTCAGACTTTTTAGATTTTTTAGCCTTGTGAAAATGAACTACGTGTTAGTTTTAGACAAAGTTTTAGTCTCGTGTAGACTTCGTCGGCTATTTTGTCGGCCACCCTCGACGGAATCTCATTACGCCGGCATTATCCTTAGCGGCGTCGAGAAATAATTACTATGTCACTGGCACGTTAGCAGATGCTAATGAATAAACATTGACTGTAATGTGGGAACTTGGAACTTTTGTTACGGAGTTAACATCTCTTTAGCACGTAGAAAATTGCCCTTGTAAATTTATTAATAGAACCATGTTATTTCTCGTTCTTTTTTCTATAAAATATGCTTTGCTGATGCGTATTGAATACTCACTAACCGATATACATATACTTAAAAAAAACTTCTGATTACCCAGCGTTCTTTCGAGCAATTCTAATCCAGAATTTGAGCCCTAGGTGGCTTGAAACTGGTCGAGTTTCTCGTCATACAGTTACGTGAGTAGGCAAGTTAAATATAATGAACAATTTAAATGTCTCATAAAAGACTTAACACGACCAGCGAAAGAAAAACAAATGACAGATCAGCAAAAAGAAAAGGACAGAAATATACATCGTATTCTTTTTCTAAACAAATGAAAATAATCTTCTACTGGGACCACCGCCACCACCGCTGGGTTTAATTGTAACGAGTATGTAAAAAAGGAACTAAGGATGTTTTATGTGAGAAGCGAATTTAAAAAAAAAATAACATTTAGTATTTTCTCCTGTGTCGTTGCGTGTGCAAACATACAATTTTATATATGTCACCGGAAAATAACAAGATCCTTAAGTTTATCAATTTACTAGGAAGTTTATAAACTTTCGTAAGATTCTAAACGGGAGATAAATTGTAATATTTTACGTCCACATTTTCGTAAATTTATCAATTTCCGACGTCATACCGTAAATTTATAAACTAACGAATATCTATTCGTAAGATTTTATATGGTTCGGCCAATCACAGAAACTCTTTTAAATATACGATCTTTGAAATACGTAAAATAACACACTGCTCTCTGATTGGTCAATGTTCATAGTGGCAATGCTTGTGTCCATAGACCAGAATAATCAAACTTGACAAACTATAAATTGGAAGCAACAATGCCTGGTTCCTCTCTGGCACGGATGTAGTGAGTAGAGTTTTCTATTATCAGTTTCAATAAGCTATTTAACAGTTACTTGCTAAAATACAGTTCCGTGGCCAGCAATGGCGGCCGCGAGGAAGGAGAAGTGACACGTGACTGCCAACCAATCAGATCGCGCGTAGCGTTTGCTTACTGCTTACTTATTATTTTACGAGTGACTTCAGTAAGTTTATCAATTTACGAAAATGTGGACGTAAAATATTACAATTTATCTCCCGTTTAGAATCTTACGAAAGTTTATAAACTTCCTAGTAAATTGATAAACTTACGGATCTTGTTATTTTCCGGTGACATATACACAAACTAGCACACGGATTTGATGGCAAGCATCAGCGCCGCTCATGGACACCTTCAACGACTGAGGAATTACGTTGCGTTGCCGACCTTTTCGGGATTAGGGATTTGGGGATTGGGAGGGATTAGGGGAGGGGAAACATTGGGTAGGCCCAATGTTTCCCCTCCCCTAGTATTGGGATTAAATTCTATAATAAAAAATACTATAACCAGGAAAATTAACAGTTTAATCTACAACAAAATATACGTAGGTACCTACGTAAGAAAATATCTCAGTCCTAAAATGCTTTCTTAACATGCGTCCATTTTCTTTTTAATTAAAATACATAAACATGTAGTTTTCATTAGTAAAGTTTTTCTCTATGCTCAAAAGAGTGTGCGAAGCATTCCACATACTTACAAAGAAAAAATAAAACGACATCTGCGTGAACTAAAGAAAACTTTTTTATTTAGGACTGACTTTTCAATGGTTAGATAAAAGATATCTGGGGAATAATAATAATGCTGTCGCGTCAGAATGTTTGTATAAGAAAGTGACAGCAACAATTTTCTTCCTCAGATAACATTTATCTGACTATTGAAAAATCTGCCCTTAATCGAAAATAGGATTATAACATTAATCTTATTTCGAAGTACCTATGTACTGTTGTTAATAATAAATCCGTGCTCGAAAAATTATAACGAAAATCCTGTAAAGTAGCCATTGCTTTATCCTTTTTTAATGACCTTCATATAAATGAATATTCACAGAATTTATACCCAATTATAACAATGGATGTGTTTAAACAAACGTGTTATAAGGAATTAATTTAAAATAATTGCAGGTACAAAATAATAAATGAGTTTGATATTATCTGTGTTTTTGTTTAATGTTTAAACTTTGTAATAGGTACCTATCTACACATCGACAACAAAATTGAAAATGTATCTTATATGCTAGGTAGGAATGGTCATAGTTGTTTGTTCTTTATTCCCAAGCTGCATTCATTAAGTTTAGGATCCCGTAGGATTGGCGACACATCTGCAAGAGTGACATTTATGTTAGGTTAGGTACCTAAAGCTGTTGGCAATTTAAGAAAATAAATAACGATTTATTTTGTTAAACCAATTCGACATAAGGTTTAACCTAGGTTCTAAGTTAAGAAGAAAAAGAAACTTCAAATAGTAAAGGGAATAAGAAATATACATATGCAGTGATAAATGAAACTCAAAAATTCGAATGATTTATTAAAATAGGGATTTCTGTTTCTACAGCCATATTATGACTAACATTAAAATGTTGCTGTTCATATTTATGTAAATTTGGTTTACCAAGGAAGCAACCGAAATTTTGTTAAAGCAATTGCAATAGTAAACACACAATTATCGACCCATTTTAGTACAAAAATGTAAAAAAAATGCCATGTTACCTACCTCAGCGAAGGTATCAAGATTAATCTCGTAAAACACAGTGGTAATGCCCAAAGGGATCCTGGCCCTTGTTATCATGAACAATACAATCTGTCGTATACGTCTGTTGGGGCATTTCTCCCAACCACACGAGTATATTGCTTGACGAAACTTTTCACTCTGGAATGGAAAAATTTGACATCAAACTTTTTATTCATCGAAAGAGACGACATGGATATAACATTCCCTTTTTGTGATATAGGATAAGATCATTCCAAGAATTCTTTGTCACTTTTTAAATGTGGAAAACATCGTGCTTTAGCACGATAGAGCCGCGGCTCAACCGAAGAACAGAAAACAGCGTAAAATAAGCCGTGTGAGTGAGATAGAAAGATAGAGAGAGAGAGAGAGAGAGAGAGAGAGAGAAAAAGAGAGAGAGAGAAAAAGAGAGAGAGAGAGAGAGAGAGAGAGAGAGAGAGAGAGAGAGAGAGAGAGAGAGAGAGAGAGAGAGGCCTCGTCACTCCCAAAAACTGCCTGCAACGCACCAGCAACTTCTCTGGTCTTGCAGGTGCGTGTCCGTGTGCGGCGCACATGTGCCGCTATATCATAAAAGAAAAATCTCCATTACATGTATTCATTCTTTCAAAATCAATTCACAAAAAACAATAGTGGAAAGCCCCAACGACTCAAGGCATAGCAGTTTTTCTCTGCAATTGTTTATATTCATATAGAATACTAGATTCTGCCAGCGGTTTGGTTTGCATTTTTATATAAGCCCAATAACCTATGTATATCTGTGCCAAGTTTCATCTTAATCCATTCAGTAGTTTTTGCGTGAAAGAGTAACAAACATACAATAAAGAAAGTTTGTGAATAAATCACAAATTTTCACATTTATCATATTAGTTGTAGGGTTGTTAATTGTTATCAATGAAGTATGTATAATATTATTTGGTACACAAAACAATAATTTATATGGATGACACTATAGAAAGGTGTGCCAAGTAAGTCATATGCAAATGACCGACCCTACAGATAGGTATTTTGTTTTCAAGTATAAGCAAATATATTTTTTACACGATAAAAGAGATTTGAATTGAATGACTTTTTTACCGAAGTATATTTAAATCCTTTGTGATTGAGGGAGAGTTTTTCTTCAGACATTAGGAAATCTCAGGAATTTACGTTAGTGTACTTAATTCTCAGATTCTACTCCTACTAAGTGAGGGCCAAACTGCAGTTGCATTTTGCCAATACTAAATACATCATGTCATTTTTTTTTTAATAGTTGATGGTTTTATTGATTATAAAGTAATTAAAGACAGATTTTTAGGTTCTTGACCTTGTATTCTACAAAGAAGTTTTACAAACTTTCGCGTTGGTAGAGTGCAAATGCACCTTTGACCCTAGATCGAACACAAAATTGCAAAGCTGTTCCAGTAATTATTCGATTGTTGCCTGGTCGGTCGGTGAAAACGTCAAAGTAAGTCGTAATTAAATGGGTCCTCCTTCCCCAGTTAGAGGAGCAAAATTTTGAATAAATTATTCTTAAGTTTCCAATGAACATAAATTATGTAATGATAGTTGCTTTAGAGTGTTGTCCTCTCAGGATTATTAGACACAGACTTTGTCACATATTTCAAATATTAATGGTGGCTAGCCTATGCCGCAATCTCCATATCCCCAAACCTCTAATACTCAATAAGGCCGGTCCCCATTTTTTTACGTAATAGGTCAGCAAACGAGCAGACGGATTACCTGATGGTAAGCAATTACTCCGCCCGTGGACACCCGCCGTGACGAGTTAGGAGTGCGTTGCCGACCTTTTAGGGATAAGGCTTTTGGAGATTTAGGGATTGGGGAGGGATTTGGGGAGGGGAATTATTGGGCCTCGGGTAACCTCACTTACACGGCGAAATACAACGCTGTGGTTTTTTCACGCCTGTTTTCTGTGAGGATATTCCATGCTTAAATCCCCCCCCCCCCATATTCTCCATATCCTCAAACTTAGAGTTGCACGTCCATGGGTGGCACTGCTTGCATTCAATCGGTTAATCCATCTATAAAAACCTTAACACAATAAGACATTAACAGAATTTTACAAATATTTTTCTTTCATCTCCTACCTTTTCCATCAAAAGATCGCTGTAATAACAGGGCATGAAGAAATGTAGAATGCAGCCAACAAAGAATGAAATAAACTCGACGTTTATCCGTTTATCTCGCAAATCCTGTAAGAATTAATTATAATTTATTGTGTTTTATTCATCTTGTATTCCACTCGGATTGTTTTTATGTTTAGACGTTCAGAAAAACGCTATTTATCTTCAAGTACGAATCTCTTTAACAAGAAATAAATTCTCAAATTATTTGCTAAGTCAGAATTACGTATTTCATAGATGAAACTATTAAGAGCTACTTGGTATTCATTTACTAACTTCGACTATCTGAAACGTTGTTAGTGGCAATAAAAATGTAGTCGCTTTCATGTTATATTCATATAAAATGGAAAAGTTTTTCTTCACGCGGTCCACTAACCTGTAAATTAGAATGTAAGAATCATTAATATGAAAAAAATAATTTTATTATAAACGATATGTAGTATTTTTAGCATACTTGTAAAGATCCTGTTGTTTTGCAATGATCTTCTTTAAGCCCCTTTCTATTTCTTCATTATTCGCATTAACAAACAGTGTACTGATATGTCGACTGAGAAGGTCCAGCTGCCCGCATGTATGCAACATGAATATAGGGACCATAGGATCAAACCCAACATACATTGAAGAAGCGTACGCGTCAAACGAAAAAGTGAATAAAAATAAAAGCCAGAAAACTATCGTTACATTCTTATAGTCTTCTATAGGTTGTGGATAGGTCAGATCAAAGAGAGGAACAAGAACAAACTCCCCTTTCCAGTAATAATATCCCATTAGAACAAAAGCTTTTATCGGGAAGATAGCGCTAGTACCGAAACCGAACACGAGCCAAAATTTGCATACAGTTACACCTCTTTTAGCATACTGAACCACTATCTCCTTGTCCTCATTACAGAACTCCTGAGCAGTTGCATAGTCTCTTTCCATAATGTTAATTAGTTCTTTAATAGATTCCTGATGATGTAGGAGAACGACATACTTTAAAGTAATCGTTAGAGACACGATGACCATCGTCCCATTTTTACTTGCTTCGGCAAACTTTCCTGATTTGATGTCGTGGCAGACTATTGAATACGAAAGGAAGAGAAAACAGAAGAATGTTATCATCATTATAATTGAAAATTGGAGCTTCCAGCGTCGGTCGCGAATAATAGACGGATGTGATCGGTTCAATCTCATAGAGACGGTCGCAATTTTAAACATTTCTTCAAAATTTAAATCGGATGCATCCATTTTTGCAACCATATTTTTCTAGAACAACCGTTTTTGCTTGAGTCGTTTTGTTAAATGAATGCTTTAAATGGATTGTAAGAATTGAAGCGTTTTCTTTGTAAAAACGGTTTGCCATTGACAGAGTAATAACACGTCAACGGGTATAACAATAGTTGATAGAAATTTACTTTCGTTCTGCGGTTTTGCTTTGTCGTTTCGACTCTGTAATTGTTTTTATTCTTTTCAGAGACAATTTTATTTCTTCATGACTACATATAAAAACCTGAATAATAAGAACCCAATATAAATAACGTTCTATAAATTCGTTTGTGTGAGATTCTAAATTAGATTTTTCTGCCATGTTCAGCAGAACTTTTCTAAACATAACAACTTTAAAAAGTCTGTCATACTGATATACCTCTTGGCGAAAAGTGATTCTTTCCTATGGTTTTTCTCGATCCTCCACGAGTAAACATTCTCGTCGGTTTAGGAATATCAGTAAGTTAAGATGAAATGCGAAAGTTTAAAAGTTAGTATATCAGTATTTCTTAAAAGTCTGTGAGCTTATTGCAATGCAAAAATTTGGAAGGAAAAGGAACAAGATGGCAATTTGAATTTACGTAGTGACCAACTAAATTGTTTGATTTCACAATAGGGTTGCAAGCTTGTATTAAATCGTGTTGCTGACAGTTTCATTGTACCTTCGGACCATGTTAATGCACAAACTCCTGCATTAGGTGCTCAATTGGATTAGGGTTGCCATCAATCAAGCTGCGATAACGGTACTGAAACGTCTTATTTCCTCGTTAAATTGTTTATAGGAAATTATCCACTTATGTGTATTGTGCTTTATTTTTGTTGAGGCATAGAAGATAATTTCAGGATTGTAACTGCTTACACGTTTATAAGCATGCCCTAGGCATGGCGGTTCAAGCGCCAGGAGAAGGAACAAGGAATTTTTACACAGTTCCTCTCGCTATATCTTGGGCGCGAGACGTCATATTATGAGGTTTTTCCTCCGCAAAAAAAGGAGTGAGCGGTGTATTTTTATTTAGAACTATATAACAAATTAATGTTAAAGTGACTTAGGCTTAGGATAATCATATTCCTATAGTAAGCAACGGCTGTTTTCTAAGAGACCAAGAAGAGTTCCGGGTTTCACTCTAACACCGAGATTTTTTTAAAAGCTAACTTTTATTTTTATTTGAGACATACATAAAAGTTAGCTTTATGTGATGGTGCCTTAATACTTATTAGTAATTATGATTTGTTCTTCATTGTGCGCTATGATCACATTAGTTTGCATCGCGGGATTTAAAAAAAAATCTCGATATTAGAGCGAAACCCGGAACTCTATCTGGTCTCTTATAAAACAGCCGATTAGAAAATATTTTAGATAAACATAAAAGTTTGCTTTATGAGATTATAGGTGATTAGCATTAAAAGTAATATTAAAAGCTGTTCAAAGAATTATTAGTCGTTGAAGTCTGTTTAGCAATGAGCTAGACACATAAAAATGGCAAGATAACGCACGCCAGCTTATTTTTGATAGCTCTATAAAACTCTTATCTGAAATTGTAAACACGTAGATATTGGATTATCATAGAAAGTACATCTTCTCAAATTGATCGTCAATTTACTTGATTTGTACTGGGTAGCATATACGTTATTAAAATGGATATGAGACGAGAGAAACGGACGGCAATCGAGAAGACGAATCGCTTGATGGTAAGCAATATGCGCTGCTCATGTGGACCCGCAACATCATAGGAGTTTTCTGAGTTGTTAGATTTTGGAATACGAGATGGATGGCGGACGTGTAACGCATATAGTTCCTAACCCAGTAACCACATTAACACACTTCTGAGAGGCCTTAGTCCAATCGAACCTGCCCATTTTTTAAGTTGCGGAGAATTTTAAGCGAACAATTGAATTTCGTTGTTGCGCAGTAAAAAGTGAATTATTAAGAATCATACGCGGAGGGAAGAAATCTATACTAATTTTTGTTCTATTCGTCTTCACAGCATGTGCTTTCCAAAGGCACACTTTCAAATTGGGAAATTGGCTTCTAACGACGTTTTTCTCTTTATGATGTTTGGGCCCTAAATCAAAGTAGGGGTAAATATTCAAATGATAAAAAACGTGAGAGAATCCTTACACAAAAGTTGGTATATCAAAGCAATATTATGACCTTGTTCAAAGCAGTTACGTTACAAATCCCCTGTATTTTTGTATCATTCAGTTGTTTGCTCGGTAACAAGTGTAGTTTTTATATAACACAAAAAAATGTGTCAACATTTCAAAGTCCATTTTCAGTAGTCCCCTAGATATTTTACTTTATATTTGTTCATTTGTATTCCGGCCGCGACCCAAAAGACCCGTTGCTGTCTTGAATTCCTTATTTTGAATCTCGAAAGAATCTCTGAGCCAATTTATGATAAAACAGCAAAATAGAGCCTAGTACACATGTATGTAATATGAAATCCAGTGTTATTCCTTATAAACAAAATTACTATGAATATGTACACGCGATTATGTAATTACGGTAATGGAATCGCAAGAGTAACCGCATTCAGGCCTCCGTATTTCTGTTTTAAGGTTAATGTAAAAACGCCTTACCAAAATTTCGCTAAGCGGATTCGACATTTGCATAACTGTTAATGTCCTTTAAAAGCGACGTGTTCGCGCAAAGTTGGGGAAAAATATTTTGCGTTTGCTTTTACACCAAAGTTTTTATTGCCCTCGCTTCGCATGTTACTTACATTTATGAATGATACTTCCTGCTCTTTATTCACCTTATGTTGTCAATTTTAGTGTGGTGTTGTTCCAAACTCCAACATTTTCAGGAAGATCGACTTACTTACATATAAACATTCTGTTACTCATTAATTGTAATGAATGACGGCCTATTATTTCATGTTCCATGTTCACAGCTCGATGGACGAAAAGCATTTGTCATACAAAATCAATTAGATTTAATCTGAATCATGATTCGACTTAGACCTTGTTCCCATTCGGCCAAAGTGACGGTCGTCGACCAAGCAAAATGGGTCATCTCGTCAAACAGACAGCTTGATGGATCGCTTCTAGTTGGTCTGGCCGGAGCGAGGCACCAGCTGACTCATCCGGGGGGCATTACCATGCTTTCACTGCTACATTATTGAGAGGAGTTCGTGACCGCAAGACCCCTAAAAAAACAACTACCGGCCGCCATAGTTCAATTTTATTTTCGCCCTTCGGAATTCTAAGAATTTGTAAAGGTCTTGTGTTCCGTGAATTTGTCTTTCGATCACTACTCATTTTGTTGTAATGAAAATATAAACAAAGGTATTGTTTCTGGCTGATTTTTAATTAAGTGGTTTGATGCTACTTGATGTAGACAGAGGCCTAAAGAGATTAGTTATTTTTAAAAAATGTTATCTAAACATTTGTTAACATATTTATTGATATCAAAATGAGAGAAAAAAACAAAATCCAGAAATACATTTAAGCTTGTTCGTACAACATAAAAAATATAGTACTGAGACTTTATAATATTTTTAACAAGCTTGCTTTTTAAACCTTTGATTGAAACATGTAAAATAAAGACATATTGAAAATATCTCTTTATAATTAATTTTATACCTACTGGAAATATATTATACTACATCCCAAAACTGGCATTGATAGAATAAATTTCCGATTCGTCCAATTCTGAATAACGTTACAATCAGTATAACTATGAATCTTATTGGCGAACGGCTGAGCTATCATCGAGTTTCATTCAAAAAATGATTTGTATGTATTTGCAATAGTTATTTGTGGAGCTCTTTGATGGATATGCGGCGTGTACGTCACAACGGGAACTAATTGAAGCGGACACCGGACGTTGGACGTCGGGAAAAAACTGCAGCTCGATGGGAAAACAAAGGGTGGAAATGGGTTTTTGTAGCAATCGTCTCGCCTGACGAGGGATGGGACGAATTAGCTGTTTTGTTTCATAGGCTTCTAACTAAACGTGTTAAATGCACGTTTAAATTGAAAAAGAAAAATACAAAAGCTTGCGTTCGTTTCGTATTCGTAGTCAGTCGACTTGATAAATGCTTCGCTGCCTTTCGAACTATTTTGGGTCGTTGCTCTGAGAGTCCAAGCGGAAAGGTAACAGGTGGCCTCGTCTATTAATTTATCAAATGCATTTTGTGATGTTTTGCAAATGTTTTGGTCTACAAAATGAAGTTATAGATGTCTAATTATAAAGAATAATAAAAATATTTGCAGCTAAGTATAATCACGTCCGTCCTTTCCGAAATTATATTTTCAAGGCGTTTCTTACTCCTTTACGCAATTTAAAAATACGTAAAGGGTTTATTGACTTGACAATAACCTAGATAAAATATTATCGTAAGGAGTATAATATTATTATAGTTTGAAATCGCCAATCCGCCAATGAGGAAGGATGGTGATTAATGCCTTATCCGTGTGAGAAGAGGGCTTTGCTCAGTAATGGGCTCTTACAGGCTGATGATATGATAGATAATATAAGAAGTTAATATATTTTAAGTATCCAAACCAATTTTAATACTTTAATTTTGTTGTTAACACACAAAACAACCAAACAAAATACACCCAAGAAACAATGGTATTTAACAACGTGCACAGAAGCAGATAATAACTAAACCCATTAATTAATAGGCCCATTCAGACCACAGTGGGGCTACCTGCGTTCATTACGTGGTTAACGAAACAATGCTATCACATCTCACTTAACATATCAAGAGAAACGTGGGGCACATTTTGAATACCCTGATGACACGACACGTTATTATAATTAGGCACACGATTCGCATCCGAGTCGTATCTGATGAGATAGTCGGAAACGCTCACATTTGGCTCTCTAGAGATGTCTTCATTGACTTAATACATTAATCAGATTTATTTGTTAAAAGTTTACGTAAGAATTTAGTAGTGGATATAAATTATTTTTAATTTTACTACAAAAAGTTTTTATATGGTGGATTAAAAGACCCGGAACTAAAATTGCACAATTTTTTTTATAAAAACGTTGCCAGATTTTCTCCTGTGTCATGGTACCTTAGTGTGTATTATTGTGCTAATGTGAATGAAAACGAGGTAACTTAACTAAGCGCATAGAATAAAATCATGTCTAAAAAAGTCAATGATTAATATAAATCACTTATTTTTTTTCTTTTGACTGTTCCAGTTCTATCTTGAGTAATTGATTTTCCACAAACATACATAATACACATACAAGTAGTAGAAGAAGAAGAATTAAATGGCGCCTATGTCGGGTGGTGCATAGTGCAGTATTTAGTATTCCAACACAGGTTTTATGAGAACTTTTTGCAGGTTTTTGTTTTTTTTGGTACATCCACTAGTCTCTACAAGATTCAATTCTGACGAGTTTTTATTTGAATATGTCTATTTTGAGCAGACTTAAGTGTACCAACATTTTTGATAAACAGAAATAATGTTTTATTATCATGAGATTATAAGTCAAATTTGTCCAACCATTATTTTGTTTAGGTACAAAAGGAACAGTCTTTCGGAGAGTGGGCACGTGGTCAAGAAAAACGTGATCATGCAGGAATCGAACCGTGATTGAGTGACAGGAAATAAAAGAAATTGGAGCAGCGTGATATCTAGAAGCGTACTGCGCTTTATTTTGAAAATGGAATTTTCGTTAGAAAAATACATTCACACATTTTTCAGAAGTAACTAATCTAAAACGGAAAAAAAAGAGACGAAAATAGATTTTTTATCTCGTAAAAATATCGAATGCTATGTATAGGACGTTTCAATTAAGTTTCCGTTAACATTTCTAAAATGTCTTATTTTAAATCCAGATACAATATTGGACGAGACTAGATATAGGATGGAATTTTCGACTGCACGGTTGGTGTGGCGGCTGGGCAACTACCTACCGTGCAACGTGTCGCGGGTTCGATTCCCTCACGGAACAACTCTTTGTGTGATCCAGAAAATGTTGTTCCGGGTCTGGGTGTGATGTGTATGTGAAATTGTATGTATTTATAACTGCACCCACGAGACAGGAGAAAATCAAAGAATGGGGCAACGTTTTATTAAAAAAATTGGAAATATGTACCTACTTACTATGATTTTTGTAGAAATTAAGTGACCACGAATTAATTTAGTTATAAACCAATAAACAATAGTTTATTCTCTTAAGAAAAGTTTACTGGAACTAGGTAAAATACTTGCAGCGTTAGACCATCGGATTTCGGAGTTGATCTACTAAAAGGACCTGGTGTCTCTTAAAGGATGTTGATGGTGACCACTGGGGAGGTTTTACACTAGTCTTTTTCCCCAAAAGCAAGGCCGCTTTTGAAGGTTTCCCCCATTAAAAAAGCTAAAGTACTTATTAATTCTCTCTAAAATGAATATGTAGAAAAAATACTGATACTAAGCGAGATACACGTAACTGCAGCTAGAAAAGCCAACTGTCTGATGCAAGGCATGCTCGCGATGTAAGAAATGTTTTTAAATAAAAATGCAATTAAACGTTACAGCATATAAAGCGACATACAACTGCACACACGCACTGTCAACATTCTTTAATTCATTCTCAACTCTATTGCATAAAACTAAAGTTGAAATTGTATAAAGATTTGGTTGTTTGACGCAAATGGTTTGTGGCATTTATAATTTGTTGAAGAAGCGACGCATCCCTACTTTCCACTTCGCTAAATTAGAAAACTGCGCGTTACTGTGCACTTTGATGCCGTTTCATAGCATTTAAGGTCTGTTTCATAAAAATTTAGAGGAAATATTAAATTTGTCAAATGTTGATGAAAATGTTGATTGGCTAATAAAGTTATTATGGAATAATGGAATGGATCGGCTCGACCGGAGTGACACCACAGAAAACCGGCCTAACACAACAGTGTTATGTTTTAACGCGTGAGTGAAGTTACTGGAGGCCCAATCCGTGCCTTTAAGGCAAAATGGAAGTGGAAACTATTTCGGTTTTTCTTCTCCTCAAATAAAATCTTCTGATTTATTTCGTGGCGGGATCCAAGACAGTCTCATTCATGTCTCTGGGTCGCGCCGGGCTTCAGTGTTCCGGTGTTTTCAGGGTTGTATCTACTGTAGATCCTGGCTTACAGGAGTTGCAGCGGTTTTAGGAGGTTGCGGCGGGCTTTCCCCCCGTCTGTTCCAAACCCCTAAATCGGCAAAACATTCGTACCTCTCTGCTATTGCGTGTGTCCAAGGGCGGTGCTGATTGCTTGCCATCAGCTAATCCGTCTGATCGTTTGTCGACTTATCCCATAAATAAAGACCACTAAATTGCAATTAACAGATGATGCATGAAATGAAATGATTCATTTCTTGGTTATCTCATTATAAGTCAGTTTTAATACAAAAATAAGGTGATCAAGAATACTTTCTCTCTTTAAGATATACATACATATTGAATACGCTAGCCACGCAATATTATTAAAATTCAAATCCTACTTTGATTGCAATAGTTTACAAGGATACATTTTATTAAAAGATTTTGTAACCGCTTGTAAATATGTTTTATATTTAAATAAATTAACTACGAATATTGTGGCACTAGCCAGTGAATTGGAATAGCTTCCATATTTATTAATAAAATTGTAAATACACGATTTAAATATTTGTTTATTTATTATTCTTGCACAACAGACATACAGTAAATAGCAAAAAATTCAGAAAATATAAAAATGAAGGCACACAGGAATTGCATACTCCTGAATGGAAATTGTTTCTGTTTAAAAAAAAGTAAAATAATGACAAAACTCATCACTCACCCTAAGGCTAAGCCACAAAAACAAAATCAACAGACCAACTTTAATTAAAAAAAATAGAATATGTAACAATATTAATAAATCACACAATGATGCATACATGTACAAATATACAAAGCTATGTAATTGTTATAACATATAATATTTACAACTACTATTAAAAACCCTGCACTAAATAGTTTATATCTTGAATATTTAGCATACATCACTATCACTACATAGTATAAAACAAAGTCGCTTTCTCTGTCTCTATATATTTTTTTTATGGTATAAGTCGGCAAACGAGCAGACGGATTACCTGATGGTAAGCAATCAGCGCCGCCCATGGACACCCGCAACACCAAATGAGTTACGAGTGCATTGCCGGCCTTTTGGGGATAGGGGTTGCGGATAAAAGAAACGGGAAGGGATAGGAGAAGGGGAGGTATTGGGCCTCCGGTAACCTACCTCACACGGCGAACACAACGCTGGGTTGTTTCACGCCGGTATTCTCTGAGGCCGTGGTATCACTCCGGTCGAGCCGACCCATTCGTGCCGAAGCTTGGCTCTCCCACACTTAAATACCTACTATATCCCTATGTATGCTTAAATCTTTAAAACTACGGATTTTGATGCGTGTTTTTTTAATAGATAGAGTTCTTGAAGAGGAAGGTTCATATGTACACCTACAATAACATCCATTAAACAGTGGATAAATTTAGTATTAGCGTTGCACCCGTGCGAAGCTGGGGCGAATCGCTAGTGCATAATATAACACGGACTAACAACACTGTTCCATGGGAATATTTACTGTTATTAGAATATTTTTTTACATATATTTAAACGGTGCCCTTAGGTCTTGTCGTGAATCGTGGTTGCGTTTAGAAACACACAATTTCACATACACATCACAACCAGACCAGGGTCGGGCGGGAGGGAGTGTCAGACTCTTACTGACTAAAAACCCCCCTGTTCCTTCTCCTGCTCTGGGCCGAGGTCGGGAAAGAACAATTTGTGAATCACAGAAAAATTTGTTCCGTCCGAGAATTGATTCCATGACACATTGCGTGGTAGTCAACAACCGTGCAGTCAATTATGAATATTGTAAACATTATGAATATTAATTAAATTTTGTTAATACCAAGAACAAAATCTATTAATATCAAGAAGAATGAGGTTGACAGATGATTATAACAAACTCGTTCCCAAAATACAAATAAGTACGGCCACGTTTTTAGTCATCAAACCCCAAGCGAACGCCGGTGTCTCTAATTACCACGACTAAAAGGTTAAAACAATCTGAATATGAACTGTGTGGGAGAGTCATGCTTCGGCTCGAATGGGTCGGCTCGACCGGAGTGATACCACGGCCTCTCAGAAAACCGGAGCGAAACAACCACGGCGTTCTGTTTCATCGTGTGAGTGAGGTTACTGGAGGCGGGTGTCAATGGGCCGCGCTGATTGCGTACCATCAGGTGATCTGTCTGGTCGTTTGCCGACATATTACATAGAAAAATAAATCCTCACAATTTTTAAGGAGCCTATGGCAAGTAAAATAATGCATTTGCTCGAATAAATCATTTATCTATTCACACTCGGTCGCTTCTTTTGTTACAACAAGAAAGCGATTTCCAAATACGTTCATATTCCATAGAGGGCGGTATTGTCTCGTCTCGTCGGATCCATATGTCTACTGGCAAACCGAACGTAATTAATCAAAACAGTCGGGGTTCGTTGTAGTGATTAAATTGATGAAGACTGTACGCAGCTGCTCTATGCGCATTAGAATATAACTTCATGAATTTTATATATTTACTGAAATCTACACTTTGGAACTAGCAAATAACTTCAGTTAGAGGACTGGATCACATAATGACACTTTTTATTATCTTTAAGCTTTGTTTGACGTTCGAAAGTGCCTACGAGGGTCTCATTGACATTGAATAATCGCTTAATTCTTATACTTTTTATTTTATTTTATTTAATAGGTCGGCAAACGAGCAGACGTATAACCTGATGGTAAGCAATCAGCGCCGCTAATGGACACCTGCAACGGAGGAGTTACGAATGCGTGGCCGCCCTTTTAGGGATTAGGGATTTGGAGATTTAGGGATTGAGGAGGGATTGGGGGGCGGGCGAAGGATTGGGCCTCCGGTAACCTCACTCACACGACGAAATACAACGCTGTGGTTGTATCACGCCGGTTTTCTTTTAAGGCCGTGGTATCACTCCGGTCGAGCCGACCCATTCGTGCCCAAGCATGGCTCTCCCACACTTATTGTTATACTCGTCGTGTCATGATTGTGATAGTAAAATAGCTGTTTTCTGGCTAATTAGAAGTTCAAAAAATCCTACTGAATATCACTGAGACTGCGATCTTTCTAGGTAGTGATTTTTCTGTCTTTATTTTGTTTCATGTTTATTCAGCCCAGGTTCACTCGAGCTGGATAATGAATATCAAATAATAATGAATGTTGTCTGCAGTATCTTAAAAAAGGAATTAAAGGTAAAGTCTATAAGCTTTGCGTTCACGAGTCACCCTCACCTACACTTGAACGAAGTGGTCCAAGTGTTTTCGGAATATACCCCTGGCCTAGATATTTGACCTCACCGGGTGAGAAGTATCCTTGCGTAGACAACTCTATGAATTATTATACCTCGAGATTTCCCTAAGGAAGAGCCTAAGCCTAACTAATTAAGCTCCTAAAATTTTACTAAATACAAACGTACCTAGTGAAATTTTCTTAGATTTATGGGACTTGCTACCTTTCATTTTAACCAATAAAACCTATGAAACCGACTTACTTAATATAAAAGTGAATAAAGAATTTGGAACATTTTTGTCAGTTATAAGTAGGTATTATTTTAGTGGTTTTAATTTCATGCAACAGCCAAACACGTCTGTTGAAACGAGTTAGAATAAACATAACATACTTACTTAATGTTATAATGATAATTGGATATCCAAAATGGTAAGAAATGTCATCAACAGTAAAAAAAAAACAAGAAAATGTTAGCGGACCTACTTATTATAAGTCTGTATCTATTTGACAGCAGGTTGGTCGTGAACATAATAATGTAATCAAATCGATCATCTTATAGCCGACAATTAATTAATTGGACGTGGAACAACGCCTTGTTAGTGATGTCAGTTCCAGCGTCGGACAAATTATTATGGAGTGACACATCTTGTAGGTGTGACATTCACACTATCTATTTATATAAGACAACGTGCAAAGATAATTTTTATGACAATACCAACTTATTTATTTGTTTCTGGACAAGGAAAATAGTCTTATTATTTTCAAAAGCAATTGGCGCCTAATATTTTTTGGGAGCAATGTTTAATTAGACGTTTATTGCTAACATAAAATATACTGAAGCTAAAACGGATTTTTTTTATTAATATTGTAAATTCGTTGTGAAATAAATAAACAAAACAAATCTCTCGCTTTTAAATATATTCATGGAATTCGTATAGTTTCCATTTTTATGTGAAAATGTCTGACACAAATGACAGCTGTCAAAGCGATGCTTTTTTGTCTATATCAGCTGTATTATGACAAAGTAATCAAATTAAAAAGTTTTTTTGAAAAATATCGAAAATATATTTGAGTTTAGTGACACAATATTTGGAAATTATTTACATAAAAATCTGTTCAGTTTGACCCATACGTAGGGTATGTACCTACATCTCAGGATAAATAAAAACCCAGCCGTTCCCTTCTCCTTCTCCAGAGCCATGGTACATTACTGCGCATACATCCACAATCCTGCTATAAACTTATATTTAAATTTCGAATCAGTGTATGTTCACAATTTTTTAGTCATTTTGCTAGAGCCAATAACGATGTCCAGTGTAGATAGGTATTTATTTCATAAATCATATACTAACAACACACAACATCATCAGCCTATGTAGATGAGCAAAGGCCTCTTCTCACACGGAGAAGGTTTGAGCATTAATCTCAACGCTTGCGCAAGGCGGATTGACGATTTCGAAACTTATAATTAGAAATTATATATGTAAGTCCAGATTTCCTAACGATGTTTTCTTGCCTTCCATGTGTCGCCAGTGTCTAAACAATTATAGAAATTACCCAATGACTCGGAAAAGTCACATTGATTTCGAATCCGCACCCTCATTCATGAGAAGCGTGCTCTTTACTTCCGGGCTACCATGACACTAGATATGTAATTATTTAAAGTGTGGTATTAACCAATGTAGCGGGCTCTACAGATTCATCTCGAAATTACTGGCCGCCTCCATTGTCATTCCGTGCCGTCAAATTGGATGCTCTGTAATTAACTCGTAAAATATTTAGCCTCTGTCAATCACAGAGGTAAACGAAGCTATGTAATGTCATTGTGTGTGTAGGTACGATTGTAGACATTACAGTATACGTAAGTGTGTCTATTGGTAATGATTACATTTTTTTAAAGAAAGAAATTTAATTTTAGTATATCGTTTGCGATCGTAAAACGTTTGTGGAGATTTCATAAAGGTGCGTGTTGCGTCACACTTCTGCAAACTTCCCCTTTTACTGCGTAGTATAGTGTCAGTTCTAAGTAATAGCAACATGATAGAAGCACAAAAGAGTGCTTTTTCTTGCAGCCAGATGCAGTTTTACCATTTTAGTTACCATTTTAGTTACTAACCAAAATAAAACACAGGGAAGTAAGCACAGACTTATACTATTTTTTGGCTTATTATTTATTTGTCGATTAAACATATGATTTTCTTCGTTTAGAAAGACAAATGCGTAATGATCCGTTTTGTTGTAACAATACAGTTGTCATTTATTAGCCCCAACACAGTTTTAATAGCATACCTAGGTAATATAAAATGTAAAATACAACTTGTTACATCGAAGACCAATTAAAAACTTTATCGGGGTCGGAACTTGTCTTAAATATAAGATAAACAAAAGTAACAATCATAATGATAGCGCAGTAATCTTTTTCTTAAGTTTTAAAGTAAATAACCTTAGTAATATCTTTACTTAATTAACTTAAAATTACGCTGACAGCCTTAACCTAATCTTTGTTCGCTTTCAGCGAGCACAGAGTGATAACTCGGCCTTCATTAGATAAAATATTAGAACCTCCTTATCGTAATTGAAATCTGCAAAAGATGGTGCATTTTATTCAACTAAGTACAAAGAAGGTGTAGTTAATTTTGGAGGACAACTTTGTCTGTTTTTAACATAATGTATTATGTATATAACACATCTTTTAAGTCCAATTTTATTAATATTTTATTTAGTGCACAATAAAATATAGTATAAAACAAAGTCGCTTTCTCTGTATCCCTAAGTGTGCTTAAATCTTTAAAACTACGCAATGGATTTTGACGTGATTTTTAACAGATAGAGTGATTCAATAAGGTTTGTGTGTCAATTAAATAGTATTCGTGCAAAACCGGGTCGCTAGTAAGGTATAAAATAAATTAATGAATAAATAAATAAACAAATTCTTCTACTTTCAAATTATCAATAACAACCCGTATCGGCAGGGAACAAGACGCGGCAGAGCATACAATCAACCAAATTGAGTTTCCCACCGTTATGGATAGTTTGACGTCACTACAAGTTTGTCTATCATTTTACACTACACAAGTAATTAGCAACCCACTTCGTCTTAGAATAGAACTGTAATTTATTTAACACCCTCAGATTTGATTAATATCTAATTATAATTTAGGAAATTGTATAACTACGTAATGTATTATATTTCCTGCTGTAAACAAAATCAGTTTCGATTTTGGGATAGGACAGTAAATGATTAGACTTGACTTGATGGTAAGAAATCTGTGCCCCGTACAGACACCTGCGACCTCTAGCGTCCAGCCTCGACAAGTTGAGCCATGATGTGAAGCGAGAGGAACTATTGCGAAGAAAGTGCCGTATCATGTGAAGGTACTAAACTCCTCACGTCTTAGCCGCCGCAATAGGAGACACTCCGGATATCGCGTGACGGTCTCCGGCTGCCGTAAGCGTGCCTCTGTTAACGGCAAGTAAGGGTAGTTTACCAGACTCAAACGTACGGCGCGTAGCGTTCTAGGAACGGTTCAAAGAGCCAATAGACCACAACAAATGGGGCTCAACAGGGCGCCCTCTATCAAGTCAATTCTTTTTTCAAAATATATGAAATAGATCACATTTTGAAATTGTTGTAATGTATATAATAAATATACACCCGGTTTCTGAAAGGCCGATCAATGTTAAAATCAATTTAATCTCTTGTCAAGTCATCTGATTGGTTGACTGAATTATCAACAACCAATCAGATGACTTGACAAGAGATTTAACAGGAGATTAGTTAATTTTAGCGTTGACAAGCCTTTCAGAAACCGGGTGTTAGTATGTCTCACGACAGTAATTATTCAAAAATATGTAGATCACTTTTTTGTTCAAGTGAGA